TTTCATGTTGCTGCTGATCTGTTTCATGTTGCTGCTGATCTGTTTCATGTTGCTGCTGATCTGTTTCATGTTGTTGCTGATCTGTTTCATGTTGCTGCTGATCTTTTTCATGTTGTTGCTGATCTGTTTCATGTTGCTGCTGATCTGTTTCATGTTGTTGCTGATCTGTTTCATGTTGCTGCTGATCTGTTTCATTTTGTTGCTGATCTGTTTCATGTTGCTCGTTAGGGCTCATCTGCTCACACAGACTCATGTTCGTGCTGCTGTTCGACATAATGTTTTTATGCTACTAGTGCTTAGTGTATATTTATTTGATGTTTTTCTTAGTTCATATCTTAGATGTTATTACTGTTTTTCTTTTACATGTTATTGTTGGATGGAACTGGGACCCCGTGTACATAATGTCGTTCCACCACATGTACCACATGAGGTGGAACAATAATAAAGAATCTCTGACTCTGACTGACTCGTGATATGGACATTGATGGAGTTTAATGAAACTTTCAGAAAGTATTTGTTGAACTATCTTTCTACAACTGATGAACATTTAATCTGAGTCAAGGTTAAGATGGCTGCCACGACTAGTGCACATTACCAAATAAATGATGTCAACTCTAGAAATACTGAGCATTCAGTGTGAGCGTGCATGTTACTGTCAGGTTTGCCTCCAAACAGCATCGACTCCATCATTTCTCAGCTCAACAATGTTTCAGTCTCAAACTCCGGCATGCCAGGCGGCGGGCGACATGCATTTCTTCAAGGAGGGACGAGCCTCCGATCAAAAAAGGAGTGTTTTTCTGCTGCGATACAGGGTTGAGGGTCTCATGTTTGGGGGTTGTGTTGAGGGGGGGGGGGGGGGGGGTTGTCTCCAAAACCTGAAACAAAAAGAGAAATCAAAGATTCAGCCGCTGCTCGTTCAGGACAAAACTTGGACACGCGACAGATTTATTGGAGCGGTTCAGTTTGTTGTCCCTCTCCCCTCCTCCTGTCCCTCCCCCCGCAGAGGGAGCGTGTTGGAGGCGCGCGCGCGCGCTATAAAGCGCACAGCCCCGCCGCTCGCGTCAGTCCAGGGTTGATCGTCAGACTATCCGGACCCGAACCTGCGATGACTCCCCTGCTCCCCCCACCTGGATTACCACTGAACTAACTTCTACATGTGGCCCCCCGCTCCATCCTAACGCCACCCCCCAGTCTCAGCACCTCCAGCCTGCACCTCCCCGCGGTCATGGGGCGCCTGGTTTCCCGCCAGCTGAGGGCCCCCCCCGCGCTGTGAGGTGGATTTATGACAGAGGAGTCGCAGCTTGCAGCAGCCGAGGGACCTCACAGGAAGTTCGAGCTCGAGGAGGATGCAGGGGACTTGTTGGTGCGCCGTGTTCGTCCTGACGCACGCGCTGTGCCTGGTGAGTGTCTGCTCTGAGGTTCTAGATGTTGTTCTGGTTCTGAGGAGAACATCTGGCTGTTCAGGGTTCTGCTTCGTTCTTGTTTCCCGCTGGAACAAGTTCATCTAGAAACTTTATAAAAACACAAAGTCCTCCTGAACATGCACGAGCTGCGTCTTTTCTGTCGCGCCAAAAACAGAATGATGCTCATAGACTGTTTATGCATTTAATAAATTTATGTAACTCCTGTTGGACTTTAGAAGAATTCCATCAAACATCTGTCTCAGGGAGAGGGATTCGTCTGAAGGGGGCGCACCAACAAACCAAAAGGACCTGAAACAATCCACTGATTCAACTGCAAAACCTCAGAATTATTAATAAAATCTAACAACAACCTAAAGAAAAAAAAATCAACTCAGAATTATTAATAAAGTCTAATAACAACATAAAGAAAAACTTAGCTTATAATTATTAATAAAGTCTAAAAAAGACTAAAGAAAAACTCAACTCATAATTATTAATAAAGTCTAATAAAAACATAAAGAAAAACTCAACTCAGAATTATTAATAAAGTTGAGTAAAAGCCTAAATTAAAAACTCAGCTCGTAATTATTAATAAAGTCTAAAAAGACTAAATATAAGCTCAACTCAGATTTATTAATAAAGTCTAATAACAGCCTAAATAAACACTAAGCTCATAATTATTAATAAAGTCTAATAAAAGCCTAAATAAACACTAACTGTATGATTTTTTAGTATTTAACTCTGTGTTTTGGTGAAGTCTGCTGCCGTTTTATTATTTTAGGACAGGAACACTTAATATTAATCTGTTCTTGTCTAATTATTTTATCTATATTTCTATTTATACTTTAAAAAACACTCTTTTCCATGATGACTGTTTTTGTGTTTATAATTATTTGTAAACTGTTTTTTTTTATTTCTTTATTAATTGTCTGTAAACAGCTGTTCAGTTTTAGTTTTATTCTTTTTTAGTATTTAATGACTAAATGACATCAAACTACAGCAAAGGCTGAAGTTTACACGTGATGTGAACATCTCCTGAATGTTGAAGCAGATCATTCAAACATGACTGACTCACCTGTGTCTCACCTGTTGGACAAACAGCTGGATAAACTCCCTGGACCCGTGCGTCATGAGGCAATTTCACAAATCTTGTTTCATGCAGAGCAGTTCTGAGGAATTATCTTTAACTTATATTTCTCCTGCTGCAGTGAGCACACAATTAAAGCAAAAAAAAAAGTATTTTATTTTGCCTTTATTTTAAATTTCTGCTGTTTGAAAATGACACCTGCTCAGGATGGAGCATCAACCCCTCTGGTACGGTTTGAACATGTCAAAGAACACGCCGTGTTCTTCATCTGTAGCTCCTGCCGATTAAAGATGTTCTTGTTGTGTATTTGTGTAGTTTAAAGACGCAAAAACTCTTCTTGTTGTGTATTTGTGTAGTTTAAAGATGTAAAAACTCTTCTTGTTGTGTATTTGTCTAGTTTAAAGATGTAAAAACGCTTCTTGTTGTGTATTTGTGTAGTTTAAAGATGTAAAAACTCTTCTTGTTGTGTATTTGTGTAGTTTGGCTCCACAGTTTGTGTTTCCGCAGTAAAAGCTGCGTGGAGCTGTCCAAGGTGCTGAAACTCTTCAAACGCCTCAAACTCCCAAACAGATTCACATCATGGCTGTCTGAACCTGACGGATGCTCATTAATTAATAAAATATTATTCAGAAGAGGGATTCCTGCACCGTTTCACCTGTTTGGACATCAGCTTACCACAAAAACATAAAAACTTCTGAGGCCACCGAGAACGTTTTTGGACGCTTTGTGTATTTTACAAACATTAAACTCCATCATCGTTGACAACATTCGTCCCGCAGTGAGCACGATCTCTTATGCAAAGTATGTGTGTTCATGTGCAAATTGGTGTGTGTCTGTGTGTTTAATGTTCAAGTCGCTCGCTTTGGTTGGTTTGCGTGCCTCAAAATTTAGGAGCAGAAAGCGCACACAGACATCCCGAACCTGCCCCTTCCCTTAACGGTGGCTGTGCAGACCCCCCCACCCACCGCTGCAGGAGTGGGATTAGAGGTGAAGTTTGCCGGCCTTAAGTCGCCTTAAAGTCTCTGAGCTTCCTGCCGTGACCCGCTTACAGGAGCCTCCATCATGTTACCGTGTTTTTTATTGATTTAATCCAGAGTATTTAAATTAACTAACCTGAAACCCATTAAAGTTTTTTTTTTTTTAATCCAGAGTATTTTAATCTACTAACCTGAAAAATGTGCTGAATGCTCCATTTGTTTTCTTGAGAGCATTGTTTTCCGTTTTAATGAATTATGCGGTAATTCATCCAGAAATCTCTTATTTGTCTTGTTGATTAAATGTTTTACCCCCTCGTTTTTACAGTCAGATCATATCACATATTATATATATATATATATATATATATATATATATATATATACAGGCACACATACAAATATATATCAGGTGGTAGGTGTAGCAGGTGGCTGGTTAATTTTAAATTCAAAAGAGAGATTTATCTCAGATTTTAATTTTCTCTATTTCTAAATAGAAATGATCTAATTTTATCAGTACTGATGGTGTTTAGTGCGATTTAAGTGCTTTAAAGCAAAGGTGTTTTATTTCAATTCTTATTTTGCTTTCAATTATTTACAGTTTTTTCCTGAGGTTTAGATTTGAATGCCCCCTCAGATGTATTTGAGCCTTTCGCTGCCGTCTCCTCTTGCTGCGCCTCCTCTTGTCTGGGACAGATGTGGGTGGTCACACGGCAGCAGGCTTTGTGTTCACATTAAAGTGTTATTATCAAACAGGACAAATGGCTCTGCAGGGTCAAGCTTCTTCTTGGTGGGTGGAAAACATAAAGTCCCGCAGGGATGAGCTCCCACAGCGTGAACATCCTCTGATCACCTCCAGTCTTCAGCTGGCCTCACGCTTTAGACGAGCTCATAATGATAAAAACACATTATTGTTCACTTTAAATCAAGAGCAGACAAGAAATAATTTAATTATCCAGCAGAGGTTTGAGCAGAAACACCCGCATGCTGTCAGACTGGACGCACACAGCTGAAACGAGAGCTGCTGAAGGTCCCCTCGGCTGCTTCCTGATCCAAAGCCGAGCAAAAGTCTGAGCTGAAGGAACAGCAGCCAGTCTCAGTCCAGTCTGAGCCCAGTCTGTGCCCCAGTCTCAGAGAGTCAGAGTTTTTCATTTGTCATTCGCATCACATGTGATACATGTGGTGGAACTAAATTGTGTACACAGGGCCCAGTTACATCCAACAAAAGTATAAATTGTAAAAGAAAAACAGTAATAAGATCTAAGATATGAACTAAGAAAAACGTTAATAAAAGTACACTAAGCACAAGTAGTATAAAAACAATATGCCGAACAGCAGCATGAACACGAGTCCAGTCTGAGGCTGGTCTGAGCTCGGTTCTGTTTCCTGCCTGAGCTCAGGTCTTTGGGCCCTCAGACGTTGAGCGGCTGCCAGTTGTGTAAAATGATTTAATTCACACGAGGTGCTCAGAAAGCATTCAGACGGACGATCCAGGTGGTTTCAGCAAGATAGTTTACAGTCACAAACATTTTTTATAATATTTATTGTAATTATTGATGTATTTTTAGTTATTCTGTGCACAGCTGAAGTCTCGCAAGGTTTAAATCTGAAACAGATCATTTTAATTAACTCTGATGATTTCTGTTGGTCTGCAGAAACCCAGAACTGAACCACATCTGCAAATGAACATTTCACAAAATTGCATTATTTGCCATTCTTAACTATTTATTGTAAAAATAAAAAATAAAATCATTTTATACTTTTTTGTAAAGTGGTACAAGGTTTTGAGAACACAAAAGAAAAGCTTGTTAAAAATATACACCAGGTCACTAAATGCAGTAAACCTTAGAATCCAACAGAAGAATCAAACTTACTGAACATATCTGCCTTTTTTTTAGGCTGAACATTTCTGATTTACATGAATAAGAAAAGATTAAAATGCCCCAAAAGCTGCATTGTCATTGCACAGTTTGTCCATGAGAGAGCAGTGACAGGTTAGATTTACACAGTTCACTGTTCTGCCCACAGATCAGAACATCTCTGAGTTCATGACCAGTTAGAAAATAAAGATCACCAGTTAAAGTCATGCTGCACCATTTTAACAGAAACAACACAATCCTTCTGCACTCCCATCACACTCAAACATGCCTGATTTCAATTAATAGAATAGAATAGAGTAGAATGGAATAAAATAGAACAGAATAGAACAGCAATGAATAGAATGGAACATAATATAATATAATGGAATAAAATAGAACAGGATATAATAAAACAGAGCAGAATAAAGTAGAACAGAATATAACAGAATAGAATATAAATGAAGAGAATATAATAGAAAAACAAAACTGAATAAAATAGAACAGCATAGATGTCATTTATGGCCTGTGTCAGACACTAAACTGAGATCCTTCTTGCCTTCCTGCATTTTTCAAAATAGGGAAGATAGACACTGACGAACAAAATAAGTCAAAAGGCAAAATAAATAAATTAATGAATAAATACGTAAACAAACAACTCAACCAATAAATAAACAAGTGCAGCAGATGTTGCAGATATTAATTATTCTTATGGCCCAGGAGGAAACAGCTACAGATTCATGTTTTATTTTTATGTTTTTATCTTATTGTAGTGTTTCCCTTTAACATGTTTATTTACACTTTTATTTTTGACAAAGTGTCTTGAGCTGTTTTTTATATACTGTATATTTTGAAAAGTACTGTATAAATAATACAAGTTCATAAATATACATTATCTATCTATCTATCTATCTATCTATCTATCTATCTATCTATCTATCTATCTATCTATCTATCTATCTATCTATCTATCTATCTATCTATCTATCTATCTATCCATCCATCCATCCATCCATCCATCCATCCATCCATCCATCCATCCATCCATCCATCCATCCATCCATCCATCCATGTATATTA